TGTGGATGGGGACAGGCCCGAGGTGGCAGCAGCCACCACTGCTCCTGCAGGCACCCCCTTTGCCCATCCCTTCTGCCTGCACAGCAGCTTCTTTGTTTTCAAATGAACTGCTGCTACTTATTTTTCCTTACTGGAGCAATTCCCTACCCCAGTGATGAGGCATTTTCCAGCCCAGGCTCTTTGTCCAGTGAGGGGAAGCCTCACTGAGAAGGCTGCTAAGTAAGTTTGACCTCTTCTTGCTGAGCTGCCAGACCTTCCATGTCCCGGAGCCTGAACAAGAGCCAAGGAAAACCCCAGGCCCTGGGAGAAACGCTGCATCACTCAGAAATACCAACATCTCTGAAAACAGCATTCAATTTGTATATATATGAATGTATATATATATATACAAAATCCATATATATATGTGTGTACACTAAAAAGAAAAAAAAGCTGTACTAACAAGTTCAGAATTCCTGGATTACATCAAAAATCATGAAATTCTATTCCTTTTCCTCACTAAAAGAGACCAGAGTAAATCTATACCTAGTTTGTGTTATGTTTATCTTCCAGCAAGACTGCCCCACATTATGCAAAACTCTAATATCTTTTGCTAAAGCGGTAACTACTGTAGACACCTGGGCTGAGGGGCTGCCTTTGCCAACAGACAGCAACAGCAGCCTTCGTTCCCTCTTACTAGCTAGAACGTTGTACAGAAAATAAAAGGAAAGCTCTGGAAGTGTGGACTGGACAGTGAGGTGGATTGCAGATTGGCAGGATGGCAGAGCCCAGAGGGTGGTGCTAAACGAGGTCGAGTCTGTTTGGAGGCCTGGGGCCAGGGGTGTCCCCCAAGGGTCAGTACTGGGCCCAGTGCTGTTCAACTTGTTCATCAATGACTTGACAAGGGCACAGAGTGCACCCTGAGCAAGTTTGCAGATGACACCAAACTGGGAGGAGTGGCCGACACCCCTGGGGGCTGTGCTGCCGTTCAGAGAGACCTGGGCAGGATGGAGAGTTGAGCAGAGAGGAACCTCATGAGGTTCAACAGGGAGAAGTGCAGGGTCCTGCCCCTGGGGAGGAATAACCTCAGGCACCAGTACAGATTAGGGGCTGACCTGCTGGAAAGCAGCTCCATGGAGAGGGATTTGGGAGTCCTGGTTGACAACAAGTTAACCATGAGG